AAGTACGCATGTGTACTCTTACTGACTGAAACATAAGTGGGGTGTAAGAGCTAATTCAAATGGTGTCGCGACATTCTCATGTACGAGGTTAGTGTGTAGTACTTGTTACGTACTGAATTCTGCGACTTTGTTTTGTCTCCATATACTGCATGCATTCACGTTTCACAGTTATCAGTTTGACCCTGAGTTCATGTCTGTTATCCCGTGTCTCCTCTACTTATTTTTGTTTCCACACGGTTCATGGTGTAGCGCTGCACGTGTTCCGTCAGTTTGAACTTCAGCATAAATCGCAACTACTTGTACTTTCAGACATGTCACGTGATTGTTGCCAGGGTTTGAGCCAATCAGAGCGTTTACAGGCAGGGCCTGAACCCCTGATCATGCCTTGCCTGCCAGCTCTACTACGATATTATATGTCATGTACCCGCGCGCGCGCACGGTTCTCCTGCGCTTGGGCTTGCTTTCCCTTGGTAGTTGGAAGTCAGTGGCTGTTTTAGGATGTCGGATGTCGGCCATCCGCAAACTTCAGGTGGAAGTTGGCTTTACCTACCCGCGGGCCCAATGACTCTCCTCGCAAGGTTCCTGTCGGGCATCAACAGGTCATCATCGACACAGCGTCATCGCCTGCTGATAACCACTCAACTTCTCAGGGAGATTAGCCGGCATGTTGCCTTTCCACGGATGTGGCACCCTCATGACAAGGCCATGCTAAGGGCAAACTGACTGCTTGATTTTAGCTTTACATTACCGCAGTCAGTCCAGCACAATACGCCAATCGTATTTCACTATAACTCGCGTGTCATAATTGGGGATATGGGCTGCTCCGCCCTATATCCCTGATATGCCAAATAGACGAAAAGTGTGTTCTGAGCCTGTATCGCGTATAATAGGCTCATCGTAAAACAAATAATAAAAGTCTTAAAAATCAGGGTTCACGTGACACTCGGGTTCCAGCCAAGTTTTCCGCATCCGCAGGAACGCTACCCCCCTCTTGAATCATAGTATAGTGGACTCTGCAATGAACAGATTATGAAACTCCCTGCAGATTTACTACGGTCATCTCTGGTGACTGGTCTTGGGGCACCGTGGAAGCTGTGACTGGTTGCCAAGTTTAGTTTTGTGACTACTTCGAAGCACAGCTCTGATTGATCACAGAGTCTTACTGTTGTGAATATTTATATCGATTGAGAAGTCAAGCAGCCACGGGGCGCTGGCCTTGCAGCTGTGAGTATGCATACGGTACATATTCACATGACTCTATTGTATGCTTTCACTCTACAGCCAAGTCAACCTCTTCGTCAACACACAGGGTTTTCCTCAGACACAAGCGAATGGTTTACTCCACTCTGGAGAAGAACACAGTTTGCTCTCTCGAACACCAACCGCATAATGACTACGGAATGTAGGAAGTGCAACAACTGCTAGAATATTGAACTGTCGTCCACACAAAACAAATAAAGACAACTGAAAACCAAAACACATGCAACTGCCAACATGCATGTAACAGCGACTGCAAGCCAGAACTACAGACTCCGCGCAGGGAGGAACAGGGGAAACAGAGGTAACGCTTCCGACTCCGAGAGCTTCGAATAGCAGCGGACAAAACAATACATCAACCTTACGTGTCACCTTGCGCTACCGCAAACGAACACCTATGGATGCACAGTGCAGCACAGACTCAGTGCATGCACGGTGTAATAACTGGAGTACATGTAAACCGACAACGGTCACCTTGCACCCTATGCAGTAAGTTACATAGGCTTGACGTGAAAGGTAACGCGGGCGAGCGCGAGTCGTACGCGCTCGCGGACGTGCCTGACACGTGAAACGAAAAGATTTTTTTGGCGGGTAGTCGGCAAAAATTAAGTGACGGTCCCTTTAGTCCTTCGCGTTCGGCGAAGGACTAAAGGGACCGATTCAGGGCAGATCGTGACATGATGGTGACTCTGATTGGTGACCCATGCGAGAACACACATTACACTTGCGGGTGGCCTTGCACTGAGTTGACCGGTGCCCTGTGCGCAAACACACAAAGCAACGCTTCTGTTCAATCAGTTATTCTTTCCGCTGTGCTACTGTTGTGTATTTCGCGCAGTCACCACATACCATGCTTGATGTTTCAAGCACCATCGGCGCAGGCCACGTTTTTCGGCACCGACGATTTGTTCGTCCACCAAAAGTCGAAACAAATGTTTCTCACTTGAACACTCCGTAGAGCTGCCGCTGTTGTGCCAAGGCCCATTGGCGCATGGTGTGTATACTCCAAATCTACATGTATGATGATGGGTCACTGCTGACGTTTCTGCTCTTGGACAGTGCAACGCCGCATGAAGATATGTTGTGGCTCCACAATCACTGAGAACGCTAGTGTGCGTCCATGGAATACTAAAACAAAATAGGCGCGGCGCAGTTAACGCCCACTTGGATGAATCGGAGTGGTGGCGAGTGCATTCTCCTTCCTCGGTGAACACTGCTGGTCACCCTGTTTGATGATCCACCAAACACCATCGGTGCAGGCCGCGTTTTTCGGAACCAGCCATTTATTCGTCCACCAACAATTGAAATTAATGTTTCTCACTTGAACACTCTGTAGAGCTGTCGCTGTCGTGACAAGGCCGTGTATACTCCAAATCTACATGTAGGATGAAGAGTAACAGTTACTGCTGATAATGAAGTTTGCGCTCGTGGACAATACAACGCTGTGTGAAGTAAATTGTGGCTCCACAATCGCTCTGAATGCTAATTGTGTCCATGGAATACTAAAACACAATAGGCGCGGTGCAGCTAACGCCCAACGTGGATGAAACGGACAACAGCAGCGGCTAGAGCGTTCTCCTTCCTCGGTGAACACTGCTACAAGACATTATGCTTGATGATTCACCAAACACCATCGTTGGGGGCCAAGTTTTCCGGCACCAGCGAGTTGTTCGTCCACCAACTAACTTTGATGAGTCTTTCTTCAACACTTCGTAGAGCAGCCGCGCAAGGCCTTTCCTTTGCGTTAGGGTAGCGATCCTTCCTAGATGATGTCGCTATTCATTGTTACTTTTTACTACAATGAGTAGTGTTTCTCCGAAAATAAAGTCAGCTGCCTGGGCATTAGCCTTTGGCATTAGTACTGGCTAGGCCTAGCGCCTAGCGCCTGGACTTGTAAAAAAATTGAATTATTTGCAAGTCTTCAATCATGTCTGCATGTACGCGCTATCCAATCCAGCCAAGTGGCGTGAACGAATTGCTTGACGTGAAAGGTAGCGCGGCCGGGCGAGCGCGAGTCGTACGCGCTCGCGGACGTGTCTGGCACGTGAAACGAAAAGATTTTTTTGGCGGGTAGTCGGCAAAAATTAAGTGACGGTCCCTTTAGTCCTTCGCATTATAATCCCAGGATTATTTCGATTTTGCCGCAGTCTGACCAGCAGGCCCTAATTCCACCAATAATTCTCACAATAATGCTTTTTTCTTCCCTTTTTATGCAGATACCGTACCGCGTATGGTTTTTTTGCCACTTGTACGGGCAAAAAAATCACGGTCGCGTGAAACTCGGCTGGCGCCAGTAGGCCTAGCCCAAATTTGCTCGGGGCGCTTCGATATTTTGCCGGCAAATTTTGCCCGATCACTTTCCATATTTTGCTAGGCATTGCCTTTCGTTTCCGATATTTTGCTCCATTTTGCTCCTGCTTTGTGGCAAAAATGGCTTCGAATGAACTGTCTACTTTGGTAAAAGTGGATGGTGACTCTGATGAGGAAAGCAAAACTTATAATGGTGTCAGTATTACAGTATTACGGATTTGGTAGCATGATTTCAAATTTATGTACCACTGACAACCTGCACGAGCTATTTCAGCACGACGTTGTCCCAATGAAACCAAAGAAATTTGAATAAATTGCCAAAACACACCCGGATCCTCTGTAAATTCGATATTTTGCTCGGAATTTGCCAGCAATTTCTTTTCGTTGGAAAATTCGATATTTTGCTGGAAGAATTGCCGGCAAATTTGGGCTAGGCCTAGGCGCCAGCCGAGTTTCACGCGACCGTGATTGCCATGGCCGCAGCTGGAAGCTTTTTTTCTTTCTTTTTTGAAATACTGGGCGATCAACTTCAGGAACACAAGCTTTTTGGTACAAATCAGGGTGTTATAAATTATTATTATTATTATCACATTTTTGATAGGGCAATCCCCTAAATTGAAATTGAATATTTGGGGGGGGGGGGGGGTATTTTGCTCAAATTAATTGCCAGTTACATGGAAACCCCTACGCATACCATCCTCAAATCAAGTGGTCTCTTCGCTGCAAATTACTGATCATTAGATTGAGATATCTCAATCAAATTTTCGGCCAGAAGCCATCATCAGGATTACGAAGAAAAACAACCGACGACGTTGACCTACAGTCCAGTTCAAAACTATAGACGCGTAGGGTTTTTGAAATAATTATTTCAAATTTGGCTGGAGCTTTTTGAGAATACATGTAGTTTTTGGAATATTGCTCAGGTCCGCTCCACAGTTACTCTCATATAGTTTCTAAACGATTGGATAACAGACGCCCAACTTGGAAAAAAATATGCACAAAGTGATCACAGATTTTATGTGGTATAGATGCTGGCATAACGGTTTTTGCCTAGGTACGCGTCTATAGTTTTGAAATGGACTGTACATCATGCAACACAAGGTGGAATGAAACTACATCATACGTGATAAAGTACACCATCCTTGAGGCACACTCACACAGACACACACGCCCAAACAGACACGCACTCACACAAATGCTCACACTCAGAATCAGACCCACACTCACACGTTGATTGGCATAAAAAAAAGAAGGTATGTAAGTTGTGAGTTACGGGCAATTCCTAGTTACGGGCAGTGTCCCAACCTGTCCGGATCCACTGATGGATCTGGGGAGTTGTACTGTACATTCGTGGAACACCGACCCTAGGGCAAAGTGGGAAAGCACGATACTCCACTCACGATGAACATGTGGCCACAAGACTCCACAATGTGTACAAGTGCACAACTATAGTAATCACTAGCTTGCACTCACTCATTTCTACCATCATGAACTGAACTCATGTCGTAAACGGACAGAATGTCAATACATGCAGACCATAACGGCACATGTACTGTAGTATGTAAAAGAAAGGAAATGTGAAGACGATGCTAACTATTATACACAGACATTATGAAGCAATTCTATACACAGAAAGCAGGACTAGAGCAGCACAAATAAATGCCACACACACACACACACACACACACACACACACACACACACACACACACACACACACACACACACACACACAAATATAAGCTAGCTAGCTACATACAGATGAACAGGAGAGAGAAAAGATATGAACACTACATTGCACTAATATGTTGGCTTCCCGCGGAAGTACGACGTGTAGTTGACCTAAACTATTGTCAGCAATGGACGGCGTCAATGTACCACTTCGAAGTATAATCACTACAGCCACATACTACATTTCAGCATCAACAACAACGACACCACCAACAAGACAACAACGACGACAACAACAGCAACAGCAACAACAACACCAGCAACAGCAGTAGTAGTAGCAACAACAGCGAGCCGACAAGCAAATCACAAGAATTATCGAGTGTTAGCAATACAACTAAATAGTGTACAAAAGTCATGTAGTGTGGACAAGCAGATGTACACGATTAACACAATCGTTTACAGTAGCACAGAGCATTTTGTCCATTCACTGGCGGCTAAGAATGTCCAATAAGCAGCAGTCCGAGAAATGAGTACCGGTACTAAAAATATTAACAGAGCTGCCACATAGGACAATATGCAAGCCAAGATACAAAGCAGAAACAAGAAGCAGCCATCCCCGAAACACCACCATAGGTAACATGTCTTGCCGAGAGAAAAAGTGTAAGGGACAGGAAGAGAGCATGCAGCCTATATACAAGCAAGTAAAATATGAACAAATGATACAAAATATGATAAAGAAAAGAAGTGGCAACGTGAGAGCTGCAGGCTTACTTACACACTTCCATTATTAGTATTCCTTGCCACGCAATCGGGTCACCCATGTGTTACGTGTCCAATGGCGCACACAAGTGAAAAGCATGAAGAAGGCCGCCTCATTGTTGCATAGGGAGGTGGCATCAGCATAGCAGCAAGGAAGGCAGACGATGATGGCTAGCAGCTTTACCGGCACACACCTCACAATTTATTCTCAGCGCTTGCCTGGTCACCCGCTCCACCGCCGGCTGCTGCTGCTGCTGCTGCCGCGGCCGCGATGGTCGTATTCGGATTGCCGAGACCGATAACAAAGCCGCAGTACTTATTGTCATCAATCTTGTCATCGAAGAACATCTGAAGTAACATTGGCACACCACACGCAGACACACAACACACACACACACACACACACACACACACACACACACACAAAAAACACACACACACACACACACAAGGTGAATGTGCCCATCCGCATCTTCCAGAAACATCAGCCGTCCCCAAAGGCAAGTGGTCTTGATAGTTGGTGAAACTTATTAATTTTTTTCTTCAGATTTCGTTCTGCACAAAGCCAGGTACAGTCAACGTCGCTAATAATGACTACGGATATAACGACAATTCGCGAATAACAACAGAATTTCCATGCCCAGAGCAAAGTCCCATCTAGCTGTATACAACTTCGGATACAACGCCTACCTGAATAACGACAATTCGCGAATAGCGACATGCTTTTAGTGCCCTGAGGTCATATTCACTGCTCGAATAACGACTTTCTGGGCTTTTGACAGCTATTTCAAGTACACTGTACCTGTCATGTAGAAGTATCAGAACCCATACCATGGCGATGGATAAAGGCACACATGCTTTTCTTTTTCTTTTGCTTCAAGTTCAAAATAATCATCATACATGTACATGTACATAGCCCTGTAGATGGCTTCAAAAGGCTAATTTTTCAATCTATTTCCCTTGCATAATGTCTTTATAGTTCCTTTCAATTGTAATATGAAAATAAAGTACACATTGACATAGAGCATGAAAGGAGCTTCATTTTGATATGCATGTCATACTATACAAAATACGGGTTCACATACATTCAAATGGGACTTCAGGTATAAGGACACTTCACGAATAAGTACACTTTTCTGATGCCCTGCCGAGTGTCGTTATTCGCAAAGTTGACTGTACAGGCTAGGCGTACTGTCTCTCCCCATGACAGCTAACCCACACTCAAACTCGACTCAAGCGATCAGGAAAACCTGCTGGAACATTGTGTTCATATCTCAACATATCTATGGATTAGCAGTACATGTAGGACAGACCAGGACGCACAGTTGCGCTCACTGAAATCCAACCCAAAGTGCAAAGCTGACGCCCTGGACCAGTTCCGATTACATCATTGTATGCGTACATGTGTACGTCCAGCTGCATTCATTCCACTTCCAGGGCATCAAGGGCCGTGGAAGCTGAGGGCGCCAGCTTTGCACGTTGGGTTGGATTTCAGTGAGCGCAAGTGTATATCATGGGTATTGGTAGCATGGGTATTGGCCGCAGTAACATACCTCTCTCATACGAAAGAAAACATGGCCAGTCAGCAAGCTGTCACTTCCAGCTTGATGCTGGGGGCCTACCCGGTCGATCTGGACCAGAAAAAAAGGTAGAACACATTCCTGAAATACGGAACAGCCCATGCACACCCAACGTAAAGTGGGGGGGTGGTGGTATCGGAACAGTGACAATAACCAGGAACAGGCTCAAATTCACTTGCTGTCTAACACAGTCTTGGTACTGTACTTGGAAAGTACCGTCATGGACATGGAAATCCAGTCAAATGACCGCAGCCGGCGCCCTCAGTGCATACAGAACGTTGCATGCACAGTGCACATGTTGATGGCATGCGAACTCACGGCTGCGTGGCCAGCGCACTGGGGCCGCTTGACCTCCGACTGGATTGCCATGTCCACGATTGACGGTATAGTGATTAAAAAAATGCAATAATGGTGAGACTAGGATACATTTTACTGCCAGGCACATGTCTATGGGAGCACCATGCTAGCAGGCAGCAGGTGAGCTTTCCAGGTGCTGTTTTACACTGTGATTTGGGTTACACTTCTTAAAAAAAGAACAACTTTTGATACAAGCAATTTCAAGCGGACAGCGCCAAAACAAACCGCTATCCACTTCGCCGACAACTAGCCGCCAAAAGATGGAAATACCAGTCCGAATAGAAGACACAAGAAATGTCGATCCTTGCACAAAGGTGGGGATTGCTGGCATGTGCTTCCCAAGAAGATTTTCTTCTCTTAGCAGGTAAAAAGCGGCTCGCTTTTTGACTGTGCGATCTCTAACACCATGCACATCTTTGAACACTGTTGCGCACACTGACACACCAAGTATGCGGTAACTGTAGCAGTGCTCCAGTGCTGCACTAGACGGTGGCTGTACACATGCCGCCAGCTCCCCGAGTACATACTTCTTGAATGCAGGCTTGTCACAAGTTGTCAGTGAGCTGCATGTGTTCCAGCAAAGTCATCAATGTTATCAGCGACTCGCGCTGATTCTCCAAAAAAACCAGCGCAACGATCGAGTCCAGCACACTTGCATCCAGTGTCAAACATATCTTTCGCCTTTAAAATAACGTGTGCTGACAACTGTTCGTGGTGCCGTACAAATAATTCTAACGTGGATGCGCTCTGCTTGCCGTCACAGTCCAACAGTTCCTCGTCGTCACTGCTTGCTTCTGACTGATATCAAGAGTATATACTCTTGCTGATATCTATAGTCAGCGTGCTTCGCCAATCTGCCCCTGGAGTCGTCTGACCAGTATGGGTCTATGTGTGTGCTGGCGGAGCCTGTGCTAGCTTCAGAGGAACCGTCACCATCTGCTCTGTAATTTTTTTTATCGATTTTGCCCAGACAATTGAAACTCTTATCGTGCATTTCAATCGGTGTAATGCTGCGTCGAATCGAGGCCATCTTCCTCGCAAGTCACTTCAACACACTTCTGACTCTATTCTTCACACCAAGAGTGCATAAACAAGAGTATGCAGCTGTGGTTATGGGTCAGTGCGCGGCGCGCTGCCTTCATTTACATAACTTGCCTCCATCATGCACTCAAACCCACAAATTCTCGTACGAGTCCCATCCGTTTTCGATCGATTTGTTCCAGTACCGACGCGATCTATAAATTTCGGCGAGTGAACTCCAGTTCCGTACGAAAGTTCATTTCAAACCAGGGGGAAAGTGCAATGTTTGATTTTCCGCAGTGCGCGGACTGCAGATGAATGATGTAATGAAGGCAGCGCTCCGTGCATCTGGCCCATAGAAAAGAGATCACAGTTGCACACTCTTGTTTATGGACTCTTGTTCACGCTTTTGCTGCTTGGTTTATGAAAATAGAGGTGATTATCGGCGCGCAGAGCACTTACAGGAATCGGATTTCTAATTTCGCCGTTTTTTTCAGACTCACTCGATTTTTTGACATTCGTCTCATTTTTTGATTTCCTGAAAACTATCTTAACTCGCCGTCCGGTTGGTTTTCTCAGGAGATGGCTCATGCATCCATACATGTGCCGTACTGCCCGAACAGATATAGGAAAACACATGCCCTGTGTGACATGCTTGTCTCAATTATGACTACTGAGGGAACTTTGGATGAAACGGCGACAAAGGGTACGGTACCTTACAACTTGAAAGTGGTATATAGTTGTGTACAATGGAACAAATAGAATAGAACACTGTTACACACTGTGTTACACAAAAGAAGCCTACCTCCAGCGTGGAGGCAACGTCTTGCAGTCCACCCTTCAGTGTCTTCACGCTCTTCATCAAATATTTGACATCATAGATGCGCGGGAAAAACAGTCGATAAAGCTCAAAGAACGCTGCTTCGTCCACTGGCAGCTTCGTGCCAAGCACCAGCTTCATCAAGTATGCAAAATCATAGGAACTGCACATCACAAAAACAGCATGGCATGGCATGCGCACGCACGCACGCACACACACACACACGCACGCACTCACATACACACACACACACTTGTCTTGTACTTGCTCACTGCCAAAACTGGTCACGTGGGTCTTTCACAATGTTAGCAACATGGAGATGATAATTGATAAAACCCTTTCCGGGTTTATGACAAGTATACTCGCCATGCATACCCCAACGCATCTGGGCTATGACAGTATACTCGCGCTGTACTTTTCGTAAAATGCGCACATCGTACACATGGGATAGATCACTGTACAAACGACCATCACCCTGGAATGAAATATCCTATCGCCATGAACAATAGCTCATTGGAAAGGTCTTGGAAACGGCTTTCCAGCAGAGGTATTGGTGTTGGGAAACCTCAAAAAATTATCGAGCGGCGACAAACGGAATGCAGACTTCGATCTCTGAATTCATGTCGCATTTTCCGTCAAGCGACTTTTTTGCGACTTTCAAGCTATTCAAGGGAATTTTCCTATGTGTGTAAGGATTTGACGATTGAGTACATCACTTGAATCACTCGAATCTCACGAGTTCTTTGCAGCTTAAGGGCATGTTCGATTGACAGGATCCAGATCTAGATCAACTGGAACCACTGAATTCGCACTCTTTCGTTTGGCCGAATACGGATTCGGATCCGACGGATTAGGATCTGGCCGACCCACCCCGGGGAGCAGGGCTGACCAGATCCAATTGATTCGTTTCGCCAATCAACCTTTTCGGCACGAAAACTGGGGGTGAAACAATTATACTGAATACTCGAAATAGAAATCGTTACAAGCCAACAAATAGATTATTCGATTATGCATACAGTACTTAATGTGCGCAAGCTCCACTGCAGCCACTTCATTAAATGCAAAACCTTACACACACCCCATCGATCCTGATGATGGCTCCTGGCCGAAAATTTGATTGAGAAGTATTGTAATTTGCAGCGAAGAGACCAATAGGATTGAAGATGGTGTGTGTGTGTAAGGTTTTATACAGTATACTATGATTGTAGATCGATCGATGTGCGAGAGAAAAATTCTCTGCTCCACAGGATCAATTTTAACCCTTTATGGACGGATTACTAGCACAGTATGCACCAGAATTACAAAATGTCATTACAATTTTCAACTTTTCCATGTCATAACTTTGGTGTCCTTCACTTGATTTTCACAATCAAGGGCAGAACGCTCAAATCTGTTTGAGACGATTCAAACTTCTGCCGGCTACATCATTATCTTGTGCTCAGTTGCTCAAAGAGCACACGAAAAGGGATTTTCCCCCAAAATGACGAAATGATCGATCAAAAAATTTGAATTTGCCGAGGTAAGAATACGGCGTGCGATATCTCTGGCGTCCGACATCGTAACTCTTCGGCGATTGTTGCATTGGACAGCTTGGAGTTTCCGCTACCATGTAGACCCTTCGATTGTGGAATTTGCTCAAGAAACGATGGAGTTACAAAGATTTTACCGCCTGCAGACTTTCGATCTAATTAGATCGAAACTCGTACAGTCCGTCCACAAAGGGTTAAGTTCTAAATTTTCGCATTTTTCAGCTTCCAATACATGACGTACTGCTTTTATCTGTGGAAGAGAATAATCGAAAAATAACCGATAACCTATCGATAAAGGTTTAGATTATTCGGTAGTCAAAACGTATACTGTAATTTCACAAATTTTCGGTGTACTTTTATTTTCGGTACTTTCGGTGCGTCTGTTTCATACCTAAAATTCCAATACACCGAACAAACACTAACACACATAATCCAATGGGGAATTGCTTCTCTGTACCTAAATTTTCTGTTCACCTAACCTGGCCCTTTACCTTCATACCGAAAATATTGAGCCCCTAAAATTTCTGAAATTAGAGTACCGTATTTCCCCGTAAGCTAGTACGTACTAACTTTCGAACTTAGCAGCCACATGAGTACTAACTTTCGGGGAGTACTTTTTTATCGGGGGTAAATGACACGCAGTGGGAAGCCTGCGCAACTCTAGTGTCCGTGCATATGATGTATGTACTGTACGGTGTCTGTACATGTAGGACGGGTACGAACTTACTATCTTTCGGGGGGAACTGTCTTTCGGGGTGATAACCTCGGCAGTGGAAAGTGTATTTTTTATAGGGGGGTACTAAGTCATTGGGGAGAACTAACTTACGGGAAAATACGGTAATCGTTTCACCCCTAACGAAAACTCCACATTTGTTCGATGCGACCTGGGAGGATCCGAAGGATCCAGGCAATCGATCGGGATCCGGATCCAACCAATCGAACATACCCTAGTGTGGCGAGGATGTATGGATATGTGACCCTGAATCACAAAAGATCATTACTCAGTGTTGCCTACAAAACACACAAAGCAACACAGATAACAATTATTATGAAAGAACTCACCCATGGAAAGCGATCCACCGTACCACATTATTAAGAACAAGACCAGAACTGACAAGAAGCTCTGAAAAGTGAACAGGATCGATACCTCTCTTGTCATGCTCTTCAAACTGGATGCCGGCAGTGGTCAGCAGCTCGATCGAGTCTTTTGCAAACATGTCAGTTCTGTCACATCGCAAAAGCCAGACACAAACAACCATTGAGGAAAGTTATTTCCATGTTGACATGTACGTCGACAAGTAAACAGTGAATGCAAATACAGTGTACCATGATGACAGACATGAAGATATCATGCTTCCCAATAAACTAAAACTTGTCCCGCTTCTATACAACCGCCACTCACAATCTGTCCCCGCGGAAATTCGTGGAATAATAGAGAGGTTCCGCATAACGTAATTACGTTAGTAAAAAACGTAGTCGATCTACGGAAAGTCTTACAAAAACTGCATGCGCATCTGTGTTCCGCCATACAGAGTTTTCAAATCACGTAGCTGCCCTTGGCAACTCCGAACGCGGCAGTGTACGACCAGATCGACCTGGGGAGAGAGTCATAAATTTGTACCCCAATCCACTTACGGACCAGCTACGTTATCAGAGCCCTATCTACGTACTCTACGTAGAAAACTTTCCGTATTTTTTTAGTGGAGCGCAAACTTGCGAATTCACAGGTGTTTCCCTCCCACTAACGAAAAGTTGCTAAACTATACGTAGTGCGGAGCCTCTCTAATATGAAAAAATTGTACGAGTTTCGCAGAACAAAAACAAGGGTACTTTCAGTGAAGATGTGGCAGAAGCAGTGGAAACACAAGCATGTTCACCTTCACAAGTCACAGCAGTCAACAGATCCGGCCCCAACATCGAAACAAGCGACTGTTTGTAGCTGCCAGGGAGTACTAAAGTTAGTAAAAAGTTTACTACAACCTGGTTGCTGCCATTTGCACTACACTTTTGCGTGTTGTTGGTTCTGCAAGTTCTACTCTTTTTTTGCGACAAAATTTGCAACAAAGGTTCAAGTTAGCGGAATTTGTAGAGGCCGCAACATGGCGAATTTCTGCAGGGACAGCAGAATGAAGCAAGGGTTACTTATCAGAGACAGTACTAGTACCTAGGTGTTTCCTCTACAGATACAATGTCATATCACAGAGGCCAAACATCTTGCACAGAATCTAGCTTGAAACGTATTCTATGGACCACAGCCTTGTACCGTAGTGTCTTGTATTAAAGCCTATCTCATATAGAAGACTGTTTTGAATACAAGCCTGATTTTAAAGATACCCTGTCGGCACATAAGACAGGTTTTAGTGTTGACACACATAGAAATGCCTGGTTCGAATACAAGCCTGATATGAATAGAAGCCTAGCCCTGACATCAGCTTCTACAGGAATAAGCCCGGCTTTAATACGCAACATTACGGTATCTGGACCAGACAAACTACAAACGAAACAAACACACACACACACACACACACTGCCAGAAACGGATCACGTGCGTCTCCACAGGAGGGAGAAGAAAGATTCAAAGGGAATCTTAGAACGATAACTCCATTGACTATTGAATCGCTCAACGCCGACACTCCTGAAATCCCCAAACTCTGGGTGGACTTGGACATGACCCCATTTATGGGCTCACCACACTGCATGCGGACCAGGGAGTTGTATAGACCCGGAAGAGGACACGCCGCACAAAAGCTCGGACGATGTGTGTCTCACGACCGCTGAGGAAGCCCCTGGGTTGAAATCGCGGGAGCCTCAGAATTTGCAGATATTACGACTTTTCAAGTTTTCAGAGATGCTTTCACCAAAAAATGAACAAGAGTACTAAAGGTATGACTCTTGTCCACCGTCGCTGTACAGCAAAGAATACCAAAAAACGATATTTAAAAGAAGGAAAAAGAAATAAGCCTCCAGTGACAGATGAGCAACAAAAAGAAACGAAAAAGGGCCGGGCACGATTGTGCCCTGGTATCCCTAGATCAGTTTTCTGGAGAGAAACGGCTGGGCGATGTTGGGCCAATGGAACACAACACGTCCGTCACACCAATCGTCGTTTATTTTGATGCCTTGGGCATAAACGATAGAAAAGGTGAATTGGCCTCTGGTAACCTCGAAGAAACTAAAAGAATCAAAAAAGAGCCTAGCCATATTGTGCCACTGTGTTCATAGGCCGGGTTCCTGGAATGAAACGAGTGGCCGAGTTTGGGCCAAAGGTGTGCACCACGTCCATCACACCCACTGTCGGACGCAAAATAAGTTGAATATTATTGATAAAACTCAAGAAAGCACCTGATTTCTTTCTCGCTCACGGCTTCATTCGCTTCCAATTTATCCGCTTCGATTAGACTCAGCGAACCACAGTGCACTTTTCTAACATTAGCCAAAGAACTGTTCGAAGGGGGAAAGAGACCACTGAGGCCATTTTCTCTTCGTCGTCGTGACATGGAAATTAGGCGGCGTAGAAATTTTTTTCAAGGATATGGGCTTGAGTCGGACCCTGTCCACGGAAATCTGTGCCATGTCCTCTCCCGTCTCTATAGAACACCCTGGTGATGCACACACACACACACACACACACACACACACACACACACACACACTTGTACTTGTTGCTCACTGCCAAAACTGGTAATGTGGGTCTCCCCGGGAGAGGGGAGAGAGATTCAAAAGGGAATCTTGGAAAGATGACTCAATTGGCTATTGAACCGCCCAACGGCCGACCCCCCCCCCCCCTTGAAATCCCCAAACGTTGGGTGGACTTCGAAGGTACTTCGAAGTAATACTTGCAATTAGTGTGGGTGGCTAAATCAGACTTCAGAGTGGATCTGATATAAGCTTTCACTAGCAACATGATTACACAAGAGTTAATCTAGCCAGAAGTAGACCATGGATAACAGGTATGCATACTTCAAATAGAAAGTATATGAACCCTGAAACCAACATAGGTGGTAGGTACAGCAATACACCTTCAAGCAGCCGAGCCCGTTGGCAACAGACCCAACACTATCGGGCATACGCGTGCCCACAAACCGAACTAGCTGGCACACACACCCACACCCACACACGCACGGATGAGGCATCCTTCAGCTTCAAAATTCTTTGAGAACATGTTGAGCACACATGCTCTTTCCCTCAGCACTGTGAACTCGCAGTTCAGTCCACTGCATCAGTTTCAACGTTTCGGCAAATTGCCATCATGGGAAAGAGCATGCGTGCTCAACATTTCTCACGGAATGGCTACTTGCACTAGTGCAAAGCTTATATTCATGACAGATACCCACATGCACAGCGAGTTACAACTGTTTTAAGTTTTAATGACGTACTTTAACGAGAACTTGAAGTTGAACTGAAACGTGTGAATACCAGGCGGTGTTTGTCCGTATTGGTTGAAGAATGTTATCCCAATTTGGATAATCTTGAGTATGTCCACATTGGCCTTGACTCCCTGGTACTGTTGATCGGTTGGTGTGCGGAACTCACCATACGGCCTCGCAACCACGCCTGGATACTCAGTATCCTATCCAAAGAGAAAAGAAAATAGTATGCATACAGTATTTTGAGGGGAGGAAGAGACAGTTAACACAGACACAGGTACAACAGAGTTTTAAGCAAGTTCGCCAGCAAGTTCACCAGCAACACTCCACGACAGCAAGTTCGCCAGCAACACTCCACGGCAGCAAGAAGTTACTCCTGGCAAGCATGTTTTGTTTCCATAAATCATCGAACGAAGATGCAGTTGTTGAATGATCAGGTTGAACTAAAGAACGCTATTTTATACACAAGATACTGGTGAACACAAGATACTGGTGAACGGTGTGTGCGCACGGCAGTACCGATTTTGCCATGTTGCCAAAGACGTGCATGCATGACCAGGCCCCTAGGGTCATGAAACTCAGAGTCTGGTCACCATTGTCAAATTGTGTAGTAGTGTGACATAGCTAAAGTAAGTCAAATTGTGTAGTAGTGTGACATGGCTAGAGTAAGTCAAATTGTGCAGAAGTGTGACATGGCTAAAGTAAGTCAAATTGTGTAGTAGTGTGACATAGCTAACGTAACTATCTAAGGAGAGTAGGAAGCAGGTTTCTACCGACCTGGCCAACTGTGTTTTTAGTGCACATGTTGTAGTCCTTCCCCTCCTGGTCCATCGCAAGCAAAGCAGTTTCAACATTGCGCAATAGTCTCACTGTGGGTAGCGCTCGATTGACGCATCGCAAAGCAGAACTCCCATCTTTCTACCAAGAAAACGCACTGTGTGGGCTTCATACTCAGCCTGTATTACCCGCTGCAATGGCTGCATGAGCCTTGACTTCATACTCAGCCTGCATTACCAGCTGCAATGGCTGCATGAGCCTTGACTTCATACTCAGCCTGCATTACCAGCTGCAATGGCTGCATGAGCCTTGACTTCTGCGAACTAGAACTGTGCACAGTATGCACCCTGCACATGACAAACACTGGTATCTTGACTACTACTCTCTGGCTTCCACTCTATGCACCCTGCTCATGACAAACACTGGCATCTTTACTACTACTTGCTGGTTTCCACCCTATGCATCCTGCACATGACATGCATGAGCGTAATGCCGGAGTGATGAGCCAATTTCACCCACAGTAGGTAGTGCATGCTAAGCTTGCATGCACAAAACAGCCACTGAGTCTGTGATGCACTGCGCTGACGGAGTTTCAAGATTCAAATTCCACTACAGTCAATGTCTGATACCAAGAGTACATAACCCCCCAGAGTGTGCAACTCCCACATACCCTGCTGTCCCGACAGAATTTCAAGTTGACATCATTTTTTATGACGCAGTGCTCCTTGCACCAGTGATTTACAACATGTGTACGGGTGTCAACGCATCACACGTTTTTCTTTGCAATAATTTGTACAGGATCGATCGGCTTCGGTCAACCACAGGTTCCGGATTCGTCTGATAATCCGTGTACAGTGCGCATTGCATCATCAAAATGACGTCAACTTGAAATTCTGTCGGGACAGCACCCATAGTGGAGTTGCACACTCTGGGGGGTTATGTACTCTTGCTGATACCAAGAGTACATAACCCGAGGGGAGGGGGGGATAGTATGTACTAGTGCTGGTTTTCTTGTTGTTATACAATACTTGTGGACAGGCTTGGGTAGGAATAGTGCAGCCGGCGAAGACAGCAAAGCTATGGTTTACCAGGAAGTACCCAAGTGGATTCCTGGCAGCATTATCAAAATGTCTGCCGGCATCAGTACAAAGTGGTAATGCGCCGTTCTGGCAGCAGATTTAGCGAAACACCCGGTTGGAATATGCTCCTGCCTGGTATATATAATATGGCCCAACATCTCTCCTCCTAATACACTACTTATTACATGCAGTGTAGCCTACAATAGATTTCTAGGACACGTACAAATTACACTTTACACGTACTTTGCAACTGACTTTTATGCGATGGGGTTTCAACATCAAAACAACCACACGAAGTGATCTTCAAGCCAAGAGACATGAAGATGAGTGGTGATTGAAGCTCGTCAAATGTTGCCAATAAAAACATTTCTTACAAAACAAGTCACAACATATTCAAATAATTTAATTATCATGTTACTTTGGATTCAGACAGGGGTCATCAACATGACTACGCTCGTCCTGCGCCAAGCATCTCAGCAGATAGTTCCAATGCATGCAGATACAACTGAGGTCGTATCGTGCATGCACGTACATAGCAGTTGAACCCCACTTACATTCAACGCATATTATACACAACATATTAGAACAAAATACATTATTGGGCACAACGTAATGGTGGATAAGTCAACGATGCTACTTTTGAGACGTGTTAGCAACTACCAAATTCAGTCCAGGAGAGAAATAAGTACGATACATACCATGGCAATGTAGTTGTAGTCATTGACAAGGTCTCTGATCCTCTCGAATTCTTTCTCCAGGTTGTAATCCCAAATGTCCACGAAATCAGCCGTGCTCGCCACACTGACAGGCATTTTCATCATGAGGTGAGTGATACATCTACTAAAATATAGAGTTCCATCTATTGTCCGTCTAAGTTCTTTTCAGTTAGAAAAACATCGAAGACACTCATGAACGAACACTATTCCACTCTTTTTTTTACTTTTCCGGCAACCAGCAAAGACAGTCTCAAACCAAGAGTGCATAAACTGTATAAACAGTTTATGTACTCTTGCTCAAACTCATAAGTACACAGGAGATGACAGATGTACACACAGATTAGCCTCGCATTGTACAATGCTGGCAACTGAAATCCGACCCCCTTGCCGCCGTGCCGCGCCGGCAAGGGGGTCGGATTTCAGTTGCCGGCACTGTAGTACAAAAATGTGTCTTTCTTCACCAATGCAGTGGTCACCTGCGTCACGATCACGCTTGCCCGCGGCCGTGCCGTCGACGTAGAATCTACGCGTGCGCGACTGCGCGTCTACGCTAGAGATGACGTCAACAGCTCTGTACAGTCTAGTATAGTCGTGACGTTTTTTTAAAGTTTTTTTTCGCGAAAGCGTGAACGATCGGTAAAGGGAGTCTAGTCCCTCCAGCTAGCTCGAGGTTCTAGTAATAGGGCTTGAAAGTGATGACGTCAAAAACGGCCTGGGAGTAGTAAATTGACATCAGATTTCTATTTTGGATCCACTAAGGTGTGACTTTGCTATTGCCTCAGTATGTGGGTGCATAGCAACCCACTCATGTCGTATGCAGGTGCAACTTTTACTTCGCCACCAGTTGTCACCCCGCCCCCACTAGCCAAATCAGTCAGTTTCACTGGCAACATCACCTTGCTGTGAGTGAGACCGCTTGAAATGTGCTTGGATCCATACAAAAACTGGATCCAGGTGGATCCAGTTTTCGAATTTTTCAAATTGTTGCTATGCCATTGCTATGGAGTGACGTAGCACTTTCAAGCCCTATAGGGAGGTTCTGCTCTACGTTTTGGGAACGCGACGCAAAGAATCACGCGAACTTTCTTCGCGTTCCCGTAACGTAAAGAAATGCTGTTCTGCTCTACGTTTCACCAAGAGTACATAACCCCCTCTTGGTTTCACCTAGAGAAGTCACGTGGAATGTGTACTGGGAATTTCCCCTTCCATATTTGGCAGTTTTCTGCATGCAGTTGATCGATACCCAGCAAATCCGTACGCATTTTCTCTGCGTGTGCCACAACGTAGAGAACCCCATCTCCGCGTAGAAATCTGGAGCCAAAACACGCGAAGCCGTAGACTCTAACCCAGACACCTGCTCTCTACGTGATTTCTCTACGTTTCACGTATAGCAGAACCTCCCTAATTCTGCATACGTGAAACGTAGAGAAATCACGTAGAGAGCAGGTGTCTGGGTTAGAGTCTACGGCTTCGCGTGTTTTGGCTCCAGATTTCTACGCGGAGAGGAGGTTCTCTACGTAATCGTTGTGGCACACGCAGAGAAAATGCGTACGGATTTGCTGGGTATCGATCACTGCATGCAGAAAACTGCCAAAATCAATATGGAAGGGGAAAATCCCAGTACACATTCCACGTGACTTCTCTAGGTGAAACGTAGAGCAGAACAGCATTTCTTTACGTTACGGGAACGCGAAGAAAGTTCGCGTGATTCTTTGTGTCGCGTTCCCAAAACGTAGAGCAGAACCTCCCTATTAAGGCCGATTCACAATACAACTTTCTGCGATGCGACATGTGACTTGCGACACATGCGACGAGCTGCGACAGCGACACACGGTTCACAATATTCATGTTTGCGACATCCTCATGCATGCACAAGTGGTACTATGCACCGTGCACCCCGGGTCGAAACTGTACTCCATTTGTGTATGTCGCGTGTCGCATGTCGCAAAAGTTGAACTTTCTTCAACTTCTGCGACAGGTGCATTGCGACAGCTCGCGACAGGCAGTTTCTTGTCGCAACTGTCGCAAATCGCGTGTCGCGTCGCAGAAAGTTGTATTGTGAATCGGCCTTAAAGCGGGATTCACAGAAGCTTTTTTGCGATGCGACACGCGGTGCGACAGACGCGAAACCGGGAAGACCCCAAATCGCAGCCATGTCGCACCCCATGCAACTGGGCCATCGCAGCCATCGCAAAAGTTGAGCTTGGCTCAACTTTTGCGATGCGACAAGCGATTTGGCGTACGATTTTGACCTTTTCTACAGCAAAGTTGTACAAAGGTTCAAGAGTTGCCTATAAATTTTTACAAGTTGTATCAAACCGCGCGAATATCATGGTGACGTACCCAAATCAGCAAGACTTTGTCGCATCGCTGACTTCTTCTGTGAATGGTATTTTGCGAGTTCGCATCGCACGCATCCATCGCAGATCCCGTCGCATCGCGTGTCGCATCGCAAAAAAGCTTTTTTGCGATGCGACAGACGCGAAACCGGGAAAACCCCAAATCGCAGCCATCTCGCACCCCACGCAACTGCCGCAACTGGGCCATCGCGATATCGCAGAAGTTGAGCTTGGCTCAACTTTTTGCGATGCGATGCAATGCGACAAGTGATTTGGCGTACGAGTTTGACCTTTTCTACAGCAAAGTTGTACAAAGCTAAAGGTTCAAGAGTTGCCTATAAATTTGTACAAGTTGTACCAAACCGCGCGAATATCATGGTGACGTACCCAAATCAGCAAGACTTTGTCGCATCGCTGACTTCTTCTGTAAAAACAATTAAAAATAAAAATATTTGATATCGGTTCGAATGGCATATCTCTCGCTTCCGTACGATAAGCCAAACTTGCCAAATCGCCAATTGTATGCTCACGTTGCCATAGCGACCAGAGCAGTGATGACGTATGAAAGGCTTAGCTCCTCCACAGAGAAGGTCGATCACCGCAGAAATTGGTCATTTTTCAATTGTCTTATTGTATTCACGATGTGAAAGAAGTGCTGTGTTCAATGCTGTTAGTGTCGTGAACTATTTATCGCCCTTCTCATGCATTTCCCTAGGCTGACTGCGCCTAGGAAATGGTTTCCTCCAGGACAAGATGCTTGGAATTCGCCATCTCTCCTGAGACATTTTCCGCAAACTTTCACAGAAACCTACGACATTATTTCATTCGTCAATCTCCACCACCCGTCGTCTCACCTGGCTTCAGAAGGTGTTACGAGAGATAGCAGAGTCGCCAGGAAGCATCACATTCATCTTCAGGAAGTGGAAAGAGCAAACGGCATGGTCCTTGGTTGGGGGAAATGCTGAACGTCTGATTTGTCCCAACCGAGATTTCAGCATTGTGTTCGTCACTATTTTCGCTTGTCTGCTGGTGTCTCCGCACTCCAGCTTTCTCCTGTCGGTGTCACGTCCCAGTACACAACCGAGAGGACTACTATCAAACAGTTCACTGCACTAACAGCATTGAACACAGCCCTTCTTTCACTTCGTGAATACAATAAACCAATTGAAAATGACCAAATTCTGCAGTGATCGACCTTCTCTGTGGTGGAGCTAAGCCTTTCGTACGTCATCACTGCGCTGGTCGCTATGGCAACGTGAGTATACAATTGGCGATTTGGCAAGTTTGGCTTATCGTATGGAAGCGAGAGATATGACATTCGAACCGACATCAAATTGTCTTTCTTCTGGACCATACTCGAAAAATCGATGCACTTCCCCTTTAAGGTACTAGTACTCTTTTCGCGGCTGTATCTGGGCCGACCGCACAAGAACAGGCATTACTTTGGTCCCACACAAGCAAATCACTCCAAATTTTCTCCACACACAGATGAAAGGGTAGTGATTGCAACAGCAGAAAATATATTGTCATGCTTTGCGAGATCCTTGGAAAATGTAAATCAGAATGTACACTTTCTGTCGATATGACGGGCTACACATTTTCTTAAAAAAATGTCCAGGAAAAGACTATTTGATGGGTCTAAATTTGTTGGATCCAAACCATCTAGGTCTGGGGAAGGGCACCTGGGTCAGCAGAAGTCCATCCAAAGGAAAAAAGGACGCACAATACACCTTATAAAACAACATATATAATACGCGACCGTGTTGCAACATTTGAGAGAGGGCAAAGATTGTTCCAGTTAAAGTGTTGCTCTTGAAAACACCCAGGTGCCCTAGGCCTGGGCATCACCTTTCCAAAAATGTATACTTTGGGGGGTGTCCAGACACTTTATCCAAGAGAAAACTTCAGAAAACACACTCGCAGTAGGCTAAAAATAGTGAAAAAAAGGGGTCCAAAACAGACAAAAATGCAGGCATAAGCTGTAATGTCAGCAACAAAACCTCACCAAACCAAGCTAAAATCCACCAGCCTCATATGTGACACCTTCTTGCTCTGTTCTTTGCTCTTCCCAGCCCTTTTTCTTTCTTCTCCTCTTCTTTCTTGTGCTTTTTTGCAATGCTGAACTGGCCACTTCGGCATGTGCAATGCGGTCCGTATCCTCCTTCTTCAGTGCCTTGATGGTGTTATGGCCAACAGAACACGACATTTCTCTCAAGAACTTGACAAAGGCTCATGGCACCATCATTGAAAGTGCATGTAGCAAGATTTGCAGCGAGCTCCACCACACAGCGACCTGCATTGACTTCCTTCGGGCACATGCGCCACACGACACCATTGAATGCTTCTTTGGCATTTTGTGTGGCACCAAGCAAGCATCGTTTCAGAAGTGCCTGGTCTGCCAGTCTTCGGTAAACAGGCACCAGCAACTTGTAGATGGCCTCTGGCTTCGGGATTTTCTGCTAACAGCTGCTGGGCAGCGTAGTTGCGGCTTTTCTCGCCAACCGTGTGTGCAGCCTCAATTGCAGCTTGTTGGTGTTTCTAGAAGTTCGTCTTGTTGACAGGCTTGGGGAGGTCCATAATGGCACAGAATTTCTGGAGACCAGAGTGTCCTCGGCCAATGGGCCTGGCAGCTAAAACGGAGCATCGGTTGACGTCAAAAAATCTTGTTCTTATGGACGATGAAAACTTGACATTAGCACCAGGACATGATTCTGATGAACAGGATATGACCATGTGTGATCCTAAGCCCTTGCTGTCTCTCCTTTTCCAAAATGATACCGCCAACTTTACAAACTGCACACACATTTCAGCAGAATCTCCTGCAGCTGCTCCAAGTCGAAAATACGTTTCCCGCACCAGTATGGGGCTCATCAGCCTCGAAACAATCACTGTCATCACTGCTGTCACTCGTGTCTGGGTTCGAGGTCAGTGA